TCATCACTACCTAAGAAGAAATTTTTACTCACAAGAAGACAGAAGTTGGCAATTAATGAAATTACTCAGAATGCTTAAGAAAATAATATCTAGACTGTTGGTAGTGATTAAGCAGAGTTATCCTTCCCCCTAAGACTTTTAGACATGAAATCTTTCTAAACCATACTACACATTCCTGCTTTGTTAGCACAGTAAGCTGAATGGAACCTATTGTTCTATGATGAATCATAAAAGACTTCAAATTTCTTTGGGCCCGGGGATTATTCTTTTTAACATCAGCTCTCTCTAAACAAAAATGAAGATATAAAGTTCTGAAAAACTTAATATCATGGATATCAATCCTCAGACCATATCCTATAAGCTATTTTTTTAAATTAAACTATTGTCCGCTGAATTTCTTTTCATTTCATCTCTTTCTCCTAGATTGGGTGCAAAAAAAAACAAACAACAACAATGACAAAAAAGCATCAAATGAGTGAGTAAACTTTCTGGCTTACTAGATACTCATCAGCCTAGACTTTTCTCTATATGTCTATGAGCTGGCATGAGCTGAGCAATTTTTATAAGTTGAAAAGATATATAGAACCAAACTAACTTCAAAGAAGCCTGACTGTTGAACAAAACACCTTCTGGGGAATGGAGTGTTCACTGGTATAAGACGGCTGACCTCGTGTACCTTGTTCCAATGATTCGTAGACCATATCTATACTTAATAGAACTCTTCTTGAAGTCCCGGAATAGGTCATCTACATCCTCTGGGTTTAGAAAAAGGTCTTTCTATTGTAGCACAAATACCTATCCTCACTTTTTTATAGAAACTTCTATGTGTTCTTTAATTTTTGAAACTGTTGCGTTGCTGAAAAAAAAACAATAGAAAAAGCCCTTTGATAATGAAGCATTATCTCAATATGGTAATCCGCCCTCCTCCATAATGATTTTGATACTTGATATTCTTAGAATTTGGAAGATTGCATTGTATTCTGAGGCTCTCATTATATCTGTCTATCTTTTCAATAAGATTCCATTAATTACATTCCATTCTTTCCACTTTGATATCTCATTAAAATCTTATAAATGATCATGCAGTGACCTTGAAGTCTATGCATAATACATGAAAGTAAACCTGCAGTAAAATGTATTCTTTCACTCCTGACTGGCTACATCCCACGCTTCTTTTCCTCTCCCAAGTGACTCCAATCGGGAAAGCTTTGCTAACAGCCAAGGCATGCAGGGTTGTGCACATCTCTCAGCTCTAGTATCTTTCTTAGTCATGACAGCTGCAATATGTTAATGGCTTCTTTTTGGATGTGATGGCCTGGTTACTACTTAGGGCACTATGCTAATTAACATAGGATGGTGACAACAGGTGCAAGTGTCATTTTACATCAGCATCATGCACATGCAAAGATAGTTAGCAGCCCAGAAGCAAGCCAAGAAAATGTTAACTTGAGTCAGCAGCCTCGCAGCCTCTGAACAGATCATCTTTAATGCTTATGATGAAAGAATTCACAGGCTGCTGTTGCTTTTTTTTTTCTTCTTCTCCCACAAGAATGGTATTTCTGAATATATGGGGATGTTTTCATAAGCTTTTTAAAGTTATGTTTCAACAAAATGCACTTCTATGGCAGATCAAGTAAAATGCACAAGGGCTGTATTTATGAAGCTTTCCTTATTGAATAAAAGTTCTGCTGAGCCACATTTATTGCACTGAGCACCTTCTGAAATGGACATGGTTTTGCACAGAGTGAAATCATATCAGTTGGCATGAGGTGATCCTCCTGGCAGATTTATTACATTTTATTTTATTTGTTTGTATGTTTACTTGGAGGTTATTTCTTTTTGAGTCATAGTTTTCTTGCCTTTTTAATGAAATTGAATAAAAGGGGAAGCATAGAGCTCCCTCTTATTTAAGCATTACTGCCTATTTCAATTCAACAGTGAATTGGGCTCTTTAATTACCTCAGTAAAGGGGAAATTCACCTACTGACATCTTAGAGTAACGCATAATCATTCCTTCTCTAAAACATAATTTATACCAAATGATTTAGTGTACCCTTAATAAGAATCACTCACTTGTTGTGCAAATCATACTCAAAGAGGACATTTGTTAGACTACTTTTAACAATTCTAGTTCTTAGACTCACATTTATTTTACAATCCAAGAAGATGGCAGATTACAAAAGAAAAGTCAGGAAACCCTGATGATGACATACAGATAACTTGTGGATTGAACTGGCTGCATTGGTTCATCTACCTGCTGTGAACTTTGACCACATTACTTTCTCTCTGAGCCTCAGTTTTCTTATCTGTACAATGGGATGTTAGAAATACTTCAGGTATTTCAGGAATGTGCAGGGTTCTTCCTGCACATTCACTTATAGTCCTTCATAATACTTACAAGTCTGTGAAGCCATCCCCTTTCAAAAGAAGTTCAACACAAATATACAAGGAAAATATAAACACCAAGGAACATCATTTTTCATTGTCTTTTTTTTTTGTAGTTGGACACAATACCTTTATTTCATTTATTTTTATATGGTGCTGAGGATCAAACCCAGGGCCTCGCATATGCTAGGCGAGCGCTCTACCGCTGAGCCAAAATCCCAGCCCTCACTGTGTCTTTTACGAAGCATTAAAGAGAATTCCACTCACAATCACACAGCTAAACTCATTTCTTATTTTTCCTAGCCAGTTTCTTGCACTTCATATGCTTGTAAGCCTACCAACCACCACTCACCTCCTGATTCTAATGTCTACCAGCCTCTGACTCCCTCTCCTCACTGCTTCAAAGCCACAGACTTTTCTTTTCTTCTAGGACTTTTCCCTTAACCTCTAAATTCTTAAATCTGTTCTCTCTCTGCCTGTGCTGTTTTGGTGTTCCAAACTCTAGGAACTACTCTGACCAAGCTCCTTGGAAGTAAGAGTAAGGCAGCAGAGAGGTAGGAAGGGTGGTGAGCAGAGGAGTGCAATTGGATCAAATGGGGAAGAAATAACCAGTGTTCCATGTCCCAACTCCAACAAGTATTGATTACATACCTCCTATATGTCCTCTGCCCTCTTGAAGCTGGGACAAAACAGTTTGTTACTTAAGGAACTGAGTATAGTAGGAGATTAACTGAACACCTGAGAATGAATGCCATGAGCCCTCTCTGAAATTCTTGTAAATGCTTTTTTGATTTTTATTTTGCATGTCAAACATGGGAATATCAGAGGAGACCAACTGATAAATGCCGATCAAGCACACTTAGTAAAGGATGCAAACCCATTTAGCCCCAAACACAGAGCAAACTACTCTGCGCATTGCTCTTTTTAATGAGGCAGGGTCAAATTTTTTGAAATAGTTTTTAATGTATTTTTCATACACTGTCAATCCTGTCCCCTTTTGAGTGCTCATTCACCTCATCGATGGCATTTCCCACTTTAGAGATCAATGGCAGTCCAAAATAAAACAGTTCATGCTCAGTTTTGAGTTTCCAATTAGACATTTTTTTTCCTAAGTCTGTAGACTTAAAAGTCAGATTTTGTTGGGAGCATGGAAGTAGGAAAGATGGTGGAATGAGATGGACATCATTTCCCTAGGTACATGTGTGACTGCACCTATGGAGCAATGCTACATCACGTACAACCAGAGAAATGAAAAGTTGTGCTGCAAATGTGTACAATGAATCCAAATGCATTCTGCTGTCATATAGACCTAATTTAAATAAGTAAATAGAAGCAAAAAAAGTCAGATTTCTTGAAAAAAATATAGATTTTCTAAATTCCAGTAGCCTTAGCTCATTACAAATCCAAACAAGCCCGGGCAACTGGAGCACAGCCTAGTGAGGAGAAGTGACAAGGTAAAACTTCAGCCCATCTCTCCCACAGTAGCAAAAGGAAATAAAAGTTTGGCCAAAGAGCAAAGTAAAGAAGAGGAATGGAGGGAGTGAAACACTCTTAAATGTTTCACTTCCCAGAGAGGTTCCAAAAGGCTATACTTCTCTGAGTTTCTGTTCCTTCATTTATGAAGTGAAAAAAAGAAAAGAGAGATGTTATGGTTTAGATGTGGTGCCCCCCAAGAGCTCACATGTGAGACAATGCATGAAGGTTTGGAGGAGAAATGATTGGGTTATAGCCTTAGTTTAATCAGTGAGTTAAGGAATTAACTAAAGTGGTAGGGTGTGGTTGGAGGAGGTGGGCATTAGGGGCGTGGCTTTGGTGTATATATTTCTGGCAAGTAGAGACCTCTCTCTCTGCTTCCTGATCACCATGATGTGAGCTGTCTCCCTCTGCCATACTGCTCCACCGTGATGTTCTGTCTTACCTCCAGCCCTGAGGAATGGAGCCGACCTTCTGTGGACAAATATCTCTGAAACTGTGAGCCTTAAATAAACTTTTCATCCCTAAAGTCATTCTGGTCAGATCTTTTAGTTACAGCAGCAAAAACACTGACTAAAATAAGAGAGAAAGAGAAAAAAAAAGAGCATGACCTAATTCATAGTGTTGTTATGAGGAATGGGTTTAAGTAATGCATGTAAAATACTTAATCAGGGCCTGGCATGTGGTCATCACTTAACTGATGTTGGTTTTCTTTATAAACAGTGTTATTTTTGTTGCTGTTATTATTTTCATTCACATTCTGTGGTGGGGTGTAACCAGGTCCACTGGCTTACTGAGACAGAGGTAGGGACATAAATCATACGATGTTGGGAAGGGCAACTAGCAGTTCAGAGGACAATTCATTTACTAACTAAATATTGAGGATCTATTAGTACATTCCTGAAATGGGGTGCAAAATTAATGACCACAAAGAACCAGATGGATCCTGACAACATCCTTCTACCTCTAACAGGAAAAAATGATCTGCAGAAGGCAGGTAGCAGATACCACCTTCTCCTTCCTGGCAGCAGCAGCAGCACTTACCACTGTCTGCTCAGTACTGAGGACCAATACAGACCATCTGATTGGCTCATTCTTCTCTTCCCTCCACCCTGCTACTGACTCACCCCACTTTCCCATTGTCCCCTCTCACCAACTTATATGTAGAAATAAAATCCATCCTTTGAGAGTTTTGTTGGTGTGCAGGTGTGGGCACAGATGACCATGAGCCACACAATGCAGTGCTGGGTATTTGAAGAAAGAAATGAGATAAATTTTGAACCAATTTATAAAAGTTGGAGTTTTCTTTTTTAAGTGAGAAGAGTTTAACATAGAAGTCATCCTAAACTGGTTCTTAAAGCTTCACTCTTTTGAGGCAGAATTTCTAAAATAGGCAGCTGGATCAGGACCTTTTCAAACCCTTTCCTGATTCTGTACCTGCACAGTTCTTAAGTCTATGTGCTCTAGTAGTTGCGGTAAATCTTATTGCCATTCCCGTCTTGACCTGCTCACGTAATCCCACTGAATCCATTCCTCCATTGACTACCACATAAATAAGGTACCTAGGATTGCAGAATCCTCCACAGCTCCCTGTGGACACAGGATAATTATCAGAATAAAGGAATTATTGTTCAGAATTATTTCCTTACTGTAATTTATTTCTTTATCTCACACTTCTGTTTTCCATTTTGTTGATGTTTAGATGTGAGGACCCCCGCCCCTGAAAAGCTTATGTATGAGACAATGCAAGAAGGTTTAGAGAAGAAATGATTGGGTTGTGAGAGCCTTAACCCAATCAGTGGATTAATCACCTAATGGGATTAATTGAGTGGTAATTGAAGGCAGGTGGGGTGTGGCTGGAGGAGGTGGAGCATTGAGTTATATATTTGTATTTGGCAAGCGGAGATCTCTCTCTCTTGTGAGCCACTTCCCTCCACCATTCTCTTCCATCATGTTTTCTCTGCCTCACCTTGAGCCCCAAGGAATGGAGCCTGCTGTCTATGGATTAAGACCTCTGAAACCATGTGCCCCCAAATAAACTCTTCCTCTTCTACAGTTGTTCTGGCTGGGTCTCTTAGTCACAGCAGTGAAAAAACTAACACACACTCCAACCTATTTATTCCTTTTAGAATTTTTTATTTCCATTAAATATGTATATAATACACCAAAAACTTATTACTACCTTTTTCTGTTGGGCTTCTCCAGCCATGGATGTCTTTCATGATTATAATTGGAAAGTGTCATTTCCAACATATTAGGTAGGAGAATTTATTAGCCATTTCTTATCATAATTTACAGGGTAAAATGTTTATTTCCAAACTAACTTTTCCTATGATCGGATATATGCTTGATGAAGGTCTGTACATAAATCATATCTGCTTTTTCATCCACCCCCGTACCTCCCAACACCACCTAAGCACATCAGCCCATTTTGTAAGGGGGGATTGACTAGGAGGAGAGAAAAAGGTAACATAAATGAAAAGAAGAGTGAAAACACATGGGAACAATCCACCCTTACCCACATGCGCTAATAAAACATCTTCTAGCCAAGCTCAAAATATCTGTGTTTCAAGGCCATTCTGTAATTAATCTCCAGTCTTATGAGTTTACTTATATGGTCTTTTAAATATAGACTTTAAAGATGTAACTTATTTTTTAAATTGAGAATACTGACTTTATAATTAACCAGTGAATTTCTCTCTGAAAAATTATTAACTAACTAGATTATTAGATACCTAGATTTTAGAAATAAGTATTTTATCTTACATGGACTATGCAATCAATATCTGAGATACTTCCTGCCATTTGGATTTGAATATTTTTTATCTTAAGTCACTTGTTGACAGTTCTGGTCACTATCATTGATATTATGGTTTGGGTCTGAAATGTTGAGTATTGAAGGCTTAGTATTCAATGCAGCAATATTCAGAGGTGGAGATTTGGGGAAGTTCTGATCTCATCAAGGGGTTAATCTATTAAAGGATTTGTAGCAGAATGGACTGTTGGGAGGTAGTTTCCACAAGAGGAGATGGGACTAGTTGGAAGGGGGTTCTTGGGGACATGCCACTAGGGACTATATATTGGCCCCAACGCTTCCTGGTACCGTGTTTCCTGGCTGTCAGGAGGTGATTAGCAACCCTGTGCCACATCCATCTGCCATAATGTTCTGCCTCACCTTAAGCCCAAAGCAATGGATCCAGCCAACCATGGACTAAAACCTCTGTAACTATGAACCAAGGTAAATCTTTCATCCTTCAAGTTGTTTCCATCAGATATTTTGGTCACGGTGATGAAGAGCTGACTAACACAGTTGCATAGCAAACTAACTTAAAGTTTAGCAGCAAAGGATGGCATTTTATTATGCTAAATTCTATGTGACAGTGATTTGAACAAAGCTCACTGGAAATAGCTTATCTCTGCTCCGTGATGTCTGGGTTCCCAACCAGATGACTCCAAGCCTGGGAGTACTCAGTAGCTGTGGGCTGATGTCACCTGAAGGCATCCTCACATGTCATTGCTGGCTGTTGTCTGGAGTCTCAGCTGGGGCTGTTAGCAGGAGAACCTGCACCTGGCTTGCCCTGTGCACAGGCTTCTTTATAGCATAAAAACCAAAGGTGATCAAACTTTGGCATGGTGGGTCAGGGTTCCAAATGTGAGTTGTGCCAACCCATGAGACAGAGCTTCACTATCTTCTAAAACTAAACTTCAAAAGTCAATGTCACTTGTACCACATTCTACTCTTTCTTTTTTAGTCATATGTGATAGTAGAATCCATTTTTACATGATTATAAAGGCATGAAATATATCTTGTTCTAATTGAGTCCCCAATACCTTTCCTTCTCTTCCCCTCCCCTCCCTCCACTCCCTACTCTCTTTCCTCTACTGATCTTTCTGCCATTTACCCATGGTTATTTTTTTAATTAATTTCTTGTGTATGTACTTCTCAAGCCAAGGCTAAAAGGTTTCTCACTAGAAGAAACCACTAGGTTTCTAAAGGTGTGATATGTGTTAAAGTTTAGCTATAAGATGTATTTATTGGAATGCTGAACTAGTAAAATATCAAAGAAAGTCCCTAAAACATTAAAATATTACATGTTCTCTCAGAAGAAGCGTGGTCGTGTGTAACTTGTAATCATTGCTAATTCTTGTGGGTTTTTTGTTTTGTTTTGTTTTGCTTTTTGGGTATTATTTGGCAATATAATCTTGCATAGTTAAATTCTTACTCTTATTTTTCATAAATATATGACCTTGAAAGCAATAGTTTAAGAGAAATGTAAAAGCATTATACTTCAAATCCATAACATATTACTAAATACTTCAGAACCAAAAGTTAACTTATACCATATCCTAGTAAAACATTTCCCTTTAAAACATTCACCAATTTCAATTCTTAAAAAAAAAAA